ACCCAGTCACTTGAAGTGTAGAATTCACAAGTATATATGAGAAAATAAAACAGGACAGATGACACAGCTCTGAAATATTTGCTTGTTTTTAAAATTTGTGGATGAGATAATTAAAACAGACCTGGAATAATAATCTTGTTTTGGAAGTCATCACACACAGTAAGTTGAGTTTTATCATGTTCATTGGCCAGTAGGTTATTCACAACTCATGCACTACCATTCAGCACATGTGTTTTCACAGCATTTGCATTAGCATGTTTTAATTGCAACAGTTAACAAAAGTGAGAGCATCAACAAAAGCGGTCTTAACACAATTGTTCTTGATTATTAAAGATGTGCACATTCACGATGCTGTCAGTGACACAGGAGGGTTGGATGGGGCAAAGAAATATGAGTCAGTAACGTCAGGCATTTATGCACAGCACCGTTTGTGTGAGCTTGTGTACATATAAATATACTGTAGCAGTGTTTCCTGAGTAGTTTATACTGAAGTTACCTAAGCTAGCTACTGTACCTGCACAGCTACTATAATTGCAACAATGTAGTGGTGTGTGAGGAAATAAATCTTTTTAAAAAAATGGTTTTTAATACATTTAGTGTATGCAGAGCATTTCATTCTGTTAAGAACAAGTGCAGCAAAGAAGCAAGTGGTTTCCACCCCTGGCATCCTTGGCAGCCTGGATAACTACAGTACTCCTCCTTTAAATGCCAAAGCCTTGGACTCATTTCCAAAGATCAGAATTTAAAAGCTGCCTTGTTGACACTGTTCCTGCTGCACAGCTGTGTTTTGAGTATTTACACAGAAACAAAAATAAAACAATCTGAAACTAGTACAAAGACTTTATGCAGTGATAACATTCCATGCCTTCTGATTATTTTTAATGTCGTAAGTCAGTTTTAAAAAAATCTCCCATTACTGTCACATTAAAACAGGGGCTGGTTTGTACTAGATCATATGAAGTGTTTTTCAGCCACAGTGTACAATTAACCTGTGATTCAGGTGAAATCATTTGCACCGAACTCCATCAATGTTGTCCGGACATTTTTATTTGAAGCACAAGTCAAACGCCACTTCCTCTGGATAATCACAAAAATATTTCCAGCGGTGCACAAAGAATTATTGTTGGGAGCGTTGAGCTCATACTCTGATGTATGCAGCCACACTACTGCTTTTCTCACAGTACTTGTAGTAGTTGATTTATACTGTGCATGTAAGCCTATCCAGATGTGAATGACTTAATGCAGCCGTTTTAATCAAACACACTGTAATAATGGAAACATGTCATTACATTATCATTGTTGCTCCACCTCCACCGCTGAAATCCCTTGGATAACATCAGTCAGTGGAATAATACCTCTCGCAGAAAAATAAGTCTCAGTCTTATTCCGCACACCTTCAGGCCTCATTTTACTCATTCCTTGGGGCTTCTAAATGACCTAAATGATTTTCAATTAAATGCTGTGAATCCCAAGCTCTGCCAGGAGTTCATGAACTCAGACTCAAGTTTGCTCTTCAGCATCACTGGGGCAATGATTATTGGCTTGTCATTTGGATTTAAAGGCAACATGGCATCTGAGTAATGGGGAAAAAACAGATGCCATTATCTCTTAGATCTTCTTTTCTGGTCATAGTCTTGATGTGCTCTACTGTCATATATTCACTATTACAACCAGAAGTGATTCAGTGCAAGCAAATCTGGATGGTGTCACTGGGCTCAATCCCTCTCATTGTTTTAGGGCAAGTGTGAACCTCCTAAAACTTAATAATAAAAATGCATTGAACAATATATACAGGATGTATTAAAAGTTCATAAAAAAAACTCATCATTGTTTGCCAGCACAAAATGTTGCCCCCTGGATTAGAAGAAGAAGAAGCTTTATTTATTGTGACATGTACAATGAAATTATGTTTGGAGCCAAGGGCCCCCGGCTGCTGCGTGCATGCGTGCCGCCATCACGAGGGTTCAGTGTCTTGCCCGAGGACACTTCAACATACAGTATAGAATACAGGCACTGAGAGTCAAACCTTTAACCTTCCAGTTGGGAGACAACTGCTCTATCCACCACACCACTGTCGCCTCCATTAGGTAAAATTGCTTGAGACAATGGGTGTAATATGAATGCTGTTAACAGCAGTTAGATCAGTATACAGACCTTATCTGAATCTGTAGGCTGTTTTTAAATTTTTTTTTTTTAATTGAAACCTTCTTTTATCCAGGGAAAAGCCCCAATGGGGTCAGTAACCTCTTTTTCACAGGAGCACTAGTGAGTTGGCAGATATTCCAGACAAAGCAGCATAAAAAACATGCAATCCAAAAAGGAAATAACAATGTATAAAATCTACAATAAACTTTGAACAAAGGAGGGTGCAAAAACAGTTCAGTGTCAAGAACTAACTAGAGTTATCACCTTGCAGTTGTAAGCATCCACCTATAGGCCAAAGTCAAGCTAATGGGACTGGTGTGAGGTCACAGTGTCCATGATGTCTGATCACCAAAATCTATTTTGTTCATCCTTGAGTCCAAGTGGATACTTAAGCCAAATATGAAGAAATTCCCTCAATGCATTTCTGACATATTGTGTTCACAAGAATAGGCCGGATGCCATGGCAACTACCCACATCTATCTATCTGTCTGTCTATTTATCTATGTCTATCTACAGTCTATACTACTGCAGCTTCACCACAAGATGTCGTTTACACAAAAACAACTGCTCCGACAGGATCATTAGCAGTTGACATCTTATAAATGAGCTCCACTCAAGATGCAAATCCAAAGGCACACGCAGAGACACACAGCCTCACTTAGAGAGACAAAAGCACATACACACCAGCAGCTGTATTGGATTTTTAATTGAACCGACCGCACCGCATTCTAATCCCACAGACACTGACACATCAATACCTTGGACTCACACTCATACACACCTACAAAAATGCACATACACGCTTCTAGTTTGTAGGTATTGCTCATTAAGTAGAAATAAGGCAGTTTAGGCCTGCTTTAACCTCTGTGTATTCTTACCAATATGAAATTAATGATCTGACATCTAATTACATCTCACAAACTCTGACAAAACAAAATCAGGCATTCCTTTCCACTGCACTCTTTCAACCAGGAGTGGTGCAGTTTTCTTTGTAACAGTTATGGCCTGTCTAGATGTTATTTCGTCCTCCAATGATATGCAGGTTTGACTGAAAATTGGCCATACAGCGGTAGCACTAATAATTGTTTGCTTGTTGCTCCTGCTGTGGTAAGCACGCAGTATCCTCTGACAACAGCCTTACAAAACTTGCAGTTACAGTAATTTTCTGTCACCAGGTTTCACCAAGTGCTTCCCTCATCACGCCTGCATGCAGATACAGGCAGGAGACACGCCCCGACCAGTGGACTGGGTCACTTTTTTTAAATATCAAACAGGAACTGCACCAAATAAATGACCATACTTGTATACACAGGGGTTCATATTTCTTGTCAAAGATCATGAATCAGTATTAATTTTGCCTTTGTCCAATAAAGGTGAGGCAGCAAAATAGAAAATCATCAGTATCCCAATTTGCAATGATGTGTTATTAACATATAAAGTGGAACAAAATGTATGTCCATTGTATTTTCTATTTCTCTACATGTCTTCTCCAGACTTTTTTCATCCTGTTTGTTTTTCATTTCAACTTTCCTTTAGGACAATTAATGTAAAAAAAAACAACAACAAAGTTTTGTATTTATTTGAGCCACATAAGAGTATAATAGTCTCATAATTATTAATTTATAAATGTTATCTCACATCTCTTTTTTGATATTTTTGTGTTGATTTTAGTCTTTTTTTATTTTTTTATATTGATTATATTTTATATTGTTGTTTGTGGTTTATAATTTATACTGTTTTATTGTAATGTACAGCACTTTGGTCCACTCTGGTTGTTTTTAGTGCTTTATAAATAAAGTTGGTATGGTATGGTATGGTATCTCTTGTTCACTCATCTACAACAGCACCCACCTACATTTTACATTTTAAGAGAAAGCAGAATTATAGTACAATAGAAAATGCCATTTATCAGGTTTGCTTGTGATAGCCTATAATTTACTGTAAATTTAGCTTCACAAATTGTCTATTTTTTCTAAATGTGTGATTACAAAAAATGAAACACTATCCATGCTCAGCATGTCTGCCTGTATCTTCTGTCGATAATATGTGTACCATGATTGATCAGGACATGTACATACTGTCATGACCTGCTTCCTGTGTTGTTTTATATGTCTATGAATAAATACCGCGTGTGGATTCAGCCATTGCCACTCTGGAGTAGTCAGTTCTGTAGTACATTCAGCTCAGCAGCCTCATCATTTCTGTCATGCATTAAAGCAGAGATTTCTGTTAGTCAGCATGTAGTGAAGGCTTAACCATCACTCCTTACCACCCACCTTTGTGAAACTGTCAGCTACATGAACCATTTCCAAGTCTCAACATATTTCCATGTAATGTTGACAAATGAATTTCTCACTGTGACAAACTGATGAGTTTTATATTTTTTCTTCTGCCATTTCAAGGAAGATTATAGCAGCATTTTGCCATCGTGCCATTCGGCATAAAAGCATAAAAGGCACAAACCCGGGACAGGGCCCATTGTTAATCCTGCATTATGCCAACAGTGGAAGTCATAAAATGGCAGCATCCGTGCCACTAGATGTCTGTGTAAATGGGGAGAAACAACTTAGGGGCAAAGGGGTGTAACTTTTTTCTTCCCACTGGGGGATTTAAATTATAAATAGAATCTGATGTTCATCATGTTGTATATGATGCACAAAACGTTTCTTGAACCCAAATCATGTCACAAATGTGTAAGTCAAACAACAGCACATCAATAGTCAGTTCTACTGCCACTGATCTGAAAGCAGCACTGGCACATTGTGCTTTGTGTTTCTGTGTTACAGGTCACACTGGACATCAGCCAGCAGAGGGGCTACAGGAGGCCACAGCATGAGAAAAACACTTCCCTTACCTGTAATAAGAAGTCAAAGAGAGCCAGCCGACCCCACTCTGAGTGGTGCACTCCCACACAGGGTGCTGACCTCAGGTCCGTTTCACTCCCACAGCGCACCTGCAGTAGTCTCTGGTACTGAACCCAGCTGAGTGGTACAGAGTTCTGGTCATTGTCTTTATCAGCGAGGTGGTGAATATCTGGGTCCCACCACACAACAGGTCTGGGGCTGCCGTTGATGTACCGATATGGTAGAATGTTACTGTGGAAAGTCCTAAGCACTGCAGGGAGACTTCTGTTGAGTCCCAGCACTCTGTCCAGGTGGAAGGCAAACACCTCAAGCCAGTCATCTGTGCGTTTGACCAAGGAGCAGCATCCCTGCTGGCAGTGTTCACTGTGGGTTTCTACATGTCCTTTCCTAGGTCCACGCCGAGGTGAATGTCTCATCTCTGATGCCTGCTGTGATGGAGAAATAGTTAGATAATAGTTAGATAATGCCTTCCATTTAGTTTTCATTTAAATCTAGTGCCTCAGGCTACAACCCTGAATATTCTCTTGAAATGAATTCACTTATGAGAATGTGATAATTAGTGCTAGGAAGCTGCTTTGAAAGCATAGTTTTGCGAGAAGCTACTAGGGACAAATGTAGTTTGGTTAGCTAAAGCTGCTCAGAAAAGGTAGTTCTAACTTCTTTGTAAAAAGAAAAAAGTTCAAACGTACATGTGATACACAATATAACAAAATATAATACAAAATAATGCCACTGAGTTGTGTTTATTATTTGAGACCTGGACCTGTTCTAAAACCCTGGGCCCACCTGGGCTTTTCACAATGATCACAAGTAAACAAGGAAAAGGAAACTGCAAGGGATGTGATTCTTTTGTTGTAAAGCAATTAAAAAAACCTAGAGAGAGAGAAATATATATAGATATTTTTTTTAAATTCACACTTTTGCCTGATTGCGTGAGCATTAAAAAAATGGGCATGCTTTACTTGTCAGCTTTGTCTTCAAGCTGCTTGCACCTTTTTAGACAGTGTACACTGGTCTAAAACCAGGCCTGTCTTTCTTGTTTATACAACACAGGAGCAGTCTCTCAAAGTTCTTATCCAAAGGATCATTCATATCCTTTTGTGAAGGCCTCAGTCCTGGCCTTCACCATGTGAGGGCCTAAACCACCACCAGCAATGGACTTGGATGGGTAATTTCTTTGTTTATGTGTGTAGGTTAAGTTGTAGATAAATATTGTTTATTAGACATACACAATTGATCAATGAGCATGCACATTTGATTAATTTTGTATTGTTAATATGTGTACATTTTCTTTTAAGTTCCCGTGTTTCCTGGTCCATGGATGGGGGGCAGTTCAGCCAAAAGATTGGACTCAGAAAGCAGCAGGTTTAATACAAGGCCTGGACTGAACCAAGTGCCCAAGACAAGGACGGGGGAGTTTGGGAGAAATTTATTGTTATGTTATGTCAATTTCTTTACATTTAAAAGAAATATTTTGTTGTGAGCAGACTGGCTGGTTAGTGTTTATTAGTTGATTATTTTGGTAGTGTCTTGGGTCTACCCCTTGTGTATGTTGTTGGTTTGGCCAGCCAATATATATGTTCCCCTGCGTG